TGGCAACTTTTGCTGTTTTGACATTGCAGCAACCAGCCTTTTTGTCTTTGTAGATTGATCAAATATTCCTGCTCTTCCTTCTGTAAATTTAAGGGTGTCGATGTTATACCTGGGGGTACTAGTTGAGACTTGGTTAAACATCATATGCAACATCATATGCCCACCATAAATTTTCTGAAAACGTTGTTACCATTCTTTGAGGCATCTATAAATTATAAATTCTGAACTGGTATATCTTTCCTTTTACAATAAGATAAGTTTTCCTTTTATTTTCATTTTAGTTAAATTTACATAGGGGTTAAAAGAGCTATAACATTTGCTTTTCTTGAAAGATGAACGCTCTCTTTTTTCCAACCTCCTTTTGTGTCTATTTTGGGAGGTGAGGCAAGGTAAATGATTAAATACCCAAGCCTCAAAGGGCACAGTCATTGATGACCTTGGTAGTGGTTTGTGTTATGATTAGGTACCTCAAAGGAGGTTTTTCCATTTACAAGATTCTGCGGCTGTTAGATTGAGTATATAGTGAGGTATTGTGTCAACTGTGAGGTATCTTAAGGTGTTGCTACTTAGCCAGCTACAGTTTATTCTTGATATAATTATAATTTTTCATATAACCATTAAGTGTCCCATGTTACTCTCTCTTGGTTTGAACGTTTTTGTTGGTTGGTTGCCTTAAAGTGCTCTCGAGGATGAGGCTTAGGACCCATAACCAGAGAGTTGATCTTATAATTCAGATTGAAACATTGTGACTTCAAAAGCTGCAGATATTTTATGTTTTGTTTAATTAACAATTTTACAACTCAGATGTGTCTCGAATGCAGTTTCCAAATTCCCACCCTTGCTCTTTCTTGCATGTTTTATTTGTTTGCAGCCTAGAATCCAGAATATTAAATGGTTAGATACAATAAATATATAATTTTCTCATCACTAAATTCAGTCATAAAAATTAGTGGGAGCAATCATCTTAGATGGTATGGGATTTTGTGCATATGTGATGATGCTTTTTCATTTTTCGATGTTTGTTTGTAGTAGCATATGCCGACCTGCTAATGCTCCATCCAATATGATAAAAGAAGCAATTTGTCTTCTGAACCTTAGCCAATATTACCTTCTTATATTACTTTCGCCCCTATGCTAACTTACCGCTCATTATGAACCCATGGCAAGTGTTTACTGCTTTATGCTTGCCTAGTTTGGTTTTTTTTCACTGTTGTTTGTACTAGTGTATGCCGCTCCCTGCTAATATTCCATCCAATATGATAAAATAAAGCAATTTAACTTTTCACTCTCATCCAATACTGCTTTATCTCATTCTTGCCTCTATGCTTTACCTTGTGTCTGCAGCTGGAGCTTTTGTGAGGCTCTTCATGATTTCGTATCTAGATACAGAGATACTTGTAAGTATCTCACAAAGTTTTTTTTTTTTTCGTAATTCATTTCTAATTTGTTAGGGACGAATGAAGTTTCATTTTTTCTTGGGGGCATCTGTTTTGTTTTCATCATTTGTAGTAGAAACCTTTCTAAATTTCTAAAGTACATTCTTAAAGAGGGTTAAACTCATAAGGTGCATGATGTATATTTTGCTAAAAGATATATGATATATTTGAAATCCATTATTTTCGCTAGATCACCTTGACCTTTTCATTATGCTGATGTTTGTGCATGAATAATATTCATAAATAAAGTCCACGGTAATGCCATTTGCTGATCTTATTATTGTATTTTGTGATTATCTTGGATTTAATAACAGATGAAATAGGTTTACATTTGCTCCCTTTACCCTTGACCTCACTAACCTTGGAATCAATTGTGTTCTAAGGGTGAAGTCTTTATAAGTGTTTTACCTCTGACAATTAGAAGTCGTTTCACCTTTGTCTCTGTGTTGTATTATTATATGAACCGACTCTAATATTTCCTCTTAATCAATCTTACTTAGCATGCAAGACTTTCTGACTTTGTTATTCTGAAACAAAGGCTACACTAACAGATGCACTCTATCTCCCCCACAAACCTTGTTCCCAGAGTCAAACTTAGACATTTGAATCTTGAGAATGAGCCATTATCTTATAGCTTATACGTGCCAAACTGGCGTAGCCATGCTTTCTCCGCCACTTCCATACACTTGCATGAAGTTGGTTATGGGTGGTTAGTTGCTTATAACTGTATATGATTGGCCTGTGGTACTGTCAAAACAAGAAATAAGGAAAAAGAGTTGGGCCGGTGACTATACATATGAACATTTTCACGCATCATAATACTAGATCGGCTTTGATCTTTTATTATATTGCGGAGTTGTGGCTTTATATAGGGCGCTGCGATCAGATTTTAAATTCTGCTACTGGGTTTGATGCAGATATTAAGGGATGCAGCTGGAGTTCCTGAAGTACTTACAAGGTTGGATACAGTTTCATCTCCCCTGGAAGAAACCGTCATGGAGTATGAGAGCTAAAGGTTCTTCTATGTATGGAAACTCAATTTTTTTTTTTCTATATTTTTAGATGTTAATTAAAATAATAGTTACACTTACACCTGCTTCTCTCTCTCCCTCTCTCTTAATGAGATGTTGCTTTTTTTTAATAATTTTTCTTGTTTTCTTCCAAAATTTTCCAAATAATCACCATAAAAATAGGTGACATGTTTTATTTCTGTTAAATTCAAGTCAACGGACCAAAATTGAGTGTGGTTGTTCCTCCAAGTCTCAAAGCATATATATAATTTGTTTGCCCTTGTGATGATTTTTAGATTCACCGGATAAGAACAGGGAAAATATTTGTAAATTAAAGGTTGGTGTGAAGTGTGAACGTGTTTGACTAAAATGCACCACGCTGTTTGACTATTGATGTGCTCTGCTGTCATGCTTGATTTACGACATGCCGCCTCTAAAGCTTGACCTTTACATCATCTGGAAGGCCATTTCAATATTTAATTTTCCTTTTCCTTTGGTTTGATTACTTGGTTAGTTGGCTGTGTTTCCTTTTGGTCTTTGTCACTTTGATGAGATTTCTTTTAGGGCTGAGTTGACTGAAAACTTGGGGAACCCTGGAGATGTCTGATATGAAGAGGGTATAGTAAACTGTTAGTAGTTTCATTTTGAAGATTAGAATTATGATGCTAGCATCAGTTTTCCATGTGCGTAAGTGATCGTGGACCGTTGATGCATTGTGTGACTCACGGCATTAATGGGCTGATGCATTGTTGTTGACACTTCAAATTGTAGGAGAAGAAATTGTACAAACATGTTGAATCACGGAAAGCTTCTCCAATGAAGGGGCTGTGGTGGGGGGGTGTTGAGAGGTGTTGAATCTGTTCGTCCAATGATAGTTCTACAATTTATCTGATGGCTATGAAGGATCCCTTCATTATAACCTCTCATTACAGTCTCTCGAGTTCAATCGCTTTAGATTTTACACATGTAATGATCTAGAGGCATTGACTCTGTGTACGGTCGTTTTGGATCAACAACGGTTAGAGCATCATAGAGGCACTAATTGTGGTTTGGTTAATGGTGTTGCAGCTGTCATCTCAATCTAGCTTCATTAACTTAAATACTTAACTTGTGGCACCAAGAAATAAGAAATTTTAATATAACAACTTGCGAATAAGAAATTCACCAAAAATTTTGACTTCCGCCGCTGTTTATTTGTCAACTATTATTATTAACCCCCTGATGCGAACTTTGGGTTTTTTTTCTATTTTATTTTCTTATAAATTAAGAAAATAATTTTACAGCTCTTGGTGTGAACTGAACATTTATTCATCTCCAACGGCGGCTAGCGCAATGGAAAATGGCTTTAACTTGCATACCTAAGGTCTCAGGTTCGAATCCCCACGGCACCATAATTGTGTGTGTGTAAGAAATCTCCCTCTCCTATAATTTAGACTAAAAAAACATCTATTCATTTGCTCATGGTACAATTGGTAGGCATGTATGTATGTGTACATAGACGTACATTTATATGTACGTATATATCTTCCGTACATTTGTAGATGGGAATGGGATATAATATACAATAACTTTTAGATTGGTTTATGGGTTTAATAACTTTTATTTATTAATTCATTATTAGCCAACTTGGGAGCAGTTGGTGTTTTTTTCCCCTAAAAAGAACAAGTGGGTTATGCAGAATTGTGTGTTAAATTTCATGTGGGTAATTAACAATGGAAATTTCTGAGTAGGACTAACAAAACTTGGAGTTGGAGGAGTGTATCTGGAATTTTCATGCCAACATGATAAGAGAGAGACGACTTCTGTAATAAATGGAGAAAATTAAATTGCAATTAGACTCTTGCAAGAAAAGCTATAAATTTATCAAAATATATAATTTCGGCACGTTCCTTATAATTTGGTTTCCCAAATAATAATGTTACTCTTATCATATTGATTACCACATTTTCATACCACCTTATGTGAGAGATGAAGTGGACATCCATATCAATTAAAATTAAACATTTTCCTTTTTGTTATAATTTATTAACACTTTTTAATTGATGTAGCTATCCACTTCATCTGTCGCATAAGTTGGTATAAGAATGTGATATACAAATGTAATATGAGTAGCATTACTCAACAAGAAATCTTCATTTAGAGAGAGAAACAGAGACCCCACAACAACACATACATAAGACAAGAAGGAAGTCCTACATCCGAATGGAAGGAGACAAGCCCTCTTAAATATAACTCAATTTAAAAGCTAAGACTTAAAAAAAAACCAAAGAAATAATTAAGAAATATTATAAGTTTCTGCAACTTCCAAATGGAATGCAACTGCAATATCTCTGCAGAAAACAGAGCAGCACTCAAAAGTATATGTCTTTAACCCTTGTATTTACATCAAATGGAGAGAGAGAGATCAGTAGAACATCAGAAAATTGGGGAAAAAAAAAAATTTAAAAGACATGGATAAACAAGTAGTACTAGAATTAAGTTAAACCCTCTAAAAATCCCAAGAAATTAAGCAAAATATTTCAGAGAACTCTGAAACTCATCATACATTCTTCTTCTTTTCTTTCTTTTGGTGAGAATCAATCAAACATCAAACATTAATTTCTGAATTGCTAAATACTTCTAGACAAGTTGGGTTCCTTCAAAACCATGCAGGTGAGAATTTGAGGCATCCAAATTGGGCAGCAGAGGAAATTCACCAAATTCCTGAATAAACCCTTCCAAATCTGCAAATCTCTCCAAGAACCCACCTGAGTTCTCTGCATTCCACATCATCCCTTCTTCCTTGACTCTCTCTCTTGATTGATCCAAACCCATGTACCCAGTTCTCATCAGCTCCAGCTTGTCAGGCATTGATGATGCATTTTTCTTGGGTTCTTCTCTGCTGCTGGGAATTATATTCCTTGGCCTCTTATTCTTCTTCTTCTTGCTGCAGCCATTTTCAGATGGTTTTCCTGTGAGTCTCTGCACTAACTCCCTGAAGTTTGCCACGTCTGTCTTGATGATCTCTGGTGCAAATATGTGAATTATTCGAATTTTGGGCTTGGCTTTTGATATTGTTTGTGAGTCTCTGTGGATGGCCAGGGCTGCTGGTAAATTTGAGCAACAAGTTTGCTTCTTGGTTAATGTCTCCTCCATGAGAACTTAATGGCTAGAGAGAGAGAGAGAGAGAGAGGTTGGGAAATGGGGATTGAGGAAGTTGGTGTATATATTTGTTTAGAATGAAGATGAGGTGATGCTTATATAGGGGCAAGATTAATATAAAGGGTGGTTAATTATTAATTAATTAAATTGGAAGGACAAATGGGAAAAAACTGAGAAAAAAAACAAAAGAGCGGAAAAAGGCTGTCTTTGGGAGGAGGGGTTGGATGCTTGTCTGGCAAATTGCTAGAGTCAATAGAGTAATTAATGGAACTCAATGGTCCCCTATTTACCAAATTGGGAATTTCATATACTTATATATGTATTCTGTTGTATTTATTATAATGTTTTGTGAGTTTGGGGTATGGGAGGATATATGTGAACATGTATGATGTTTTTCATCATACATGAAATTAATTACCAAAACATCCCATTTTCCATTCAACTTGGAACTTCATTATTAGGATCATCCAATTGTAAAATTTCAATGCATGATTCTCCTCTTCTTCCTCTTCTTGATTGAACCTTGAGAGATGGGTGGTTCAATCATTTAATTAAAGTTGTCATTTATTGTTCTAGCTTGTATTAATCCTTCCTCATGAAATGGGATTTCAATGCTTAGTTATGACGGAAGCTTTCATGCAAATTCAAATGTATTTTAGGATTTGCAAAGGACCCATTAGTGTAGTGGTTTTGAGTTTGAGTTATAGCATCCGTGTTGTGTGTATCAGTTTAGTATATTATCACACCTCTCAATAGGAAAGATCCTCAAAAAATGTACTTAAGGTTTTAGGCCAAAACAGAAATTATTTCATATTATTATTTTGGTCATCTGAACGCCTATGTTAGATGTTTGGAATTGATTCAATATCACTTAACGACGACTTATCTCTTTATACTACACATCAATGTCATCCCTACCATTATTTTTTTATAGGACTTCATCAGAACTGTAACATGATCGTGATCAACACTTAAAAAGTACTAACCACATTAATCACGTACTCTTTGAAAATTAATCACACATGTCATGCACAAAAATAAGTTTCATATGAGTAATTATGACAATATGGAGCTACAATATCATTACACATAAAGCCAATGTCATGGACTCATGGGTTCATGGCTTGCACAATTGTACGACAGCCGTACCTAATCCCGCGTTTCAAACCAAAACAAACTATAAAAATAAGTTCCAAAAACAAAAGACTTTGTAAATCATTACTTTTCTGTTTGATCCTCCATCTTGTCTGTAATTTTTCATTACTGAATTCCTATAAGATCTGAAACTTGATATGGAAGCACAATGATTTAATTGGATACGATCCAGCAAAGCAGCTGCAAATAGTTGTGTGCATGTAGATTGTAGGGGGAGAGTTTTAAGTAGCTATATATAAGAGTATCAATTTGGTCCCATAGAAAGGAAAAAAATCAAGGAAAATTTCTAGATAATATATAAACTCCCTGTAGCACATTGGTAATGTGTGTGTGTGTGAGAAACTTCCCTTCAATTGTAATTTAGACTATCGTTTGTATTAAAAAACGAACTTGCTTCACAATCAATCGTGGACGTTTTATTATTAAATATTGATGTAAATTAACAATCTAATAACGTAATATTGTTTCGCAAAATAGAACCTATATCCTATGTAATTATGTATACAAGAGCAAACTAGTACGTACGGATGCATGAGGTATCTGACTCTTGCTAAATTGCAAAACCGACTTGGATGTTTTTTTCTCATTTGGCTCTATGTTTTCATCTCATAGCTACATAGAGAGAGAGAGAGAGAGAGAGAGAGAGAGAGAGAGAGAGAGCACCATGGCCGGTCTTAAGATTTGTCACTGCTCACTAATGGAGCTTTCGATCCCAAACATTAAGCCAAATTCATATTTGACTATGTCTTCACAATAGATATTTTTATTTTTATTTTATCTCTTGCATTATGTATAAAGACAAATGAAAACATTCAACAGTCGATTTTGTAATTAAGCATAAGTGAGATTAAGAAAGGTCCTTAACCAGGTTTAAAATTTTATAATTATCCTTTTTGTATGAAATTTTGGACACAAAAATAATGCTAATGGAAGCTGTTATGTGTGAATGCCAAAAAGGGTTGTTTAGGTGAGAACTTCTCAGTGGGGAGGTCACATGGCACGTGACCTTTTACAATTGGTGCAACTGCCATGAGGTTTTAGCTTCACTTTTTTGACTTTTTACACGATCCTTCGTGCATGTCATGCTAATAGCTAGTCATCCTTTTTAATTGGCAACTTTTACTTTTTTCTTTTACTTCAATTGGATATATAAAAGGCTTTTTTTTACAACAAAAATCCTTCCTTGTAATTCTTGTCTAATTCCATCAATTTTTATATATATTATATACAATTTGTACAAGCTAGGTAGCTGGCAGCTTACCATTTTTCTTCTAAGTGGGGCTAATTTCCCAACAGAATTGAGTGGGGTAATTTCCAATAGGGTAAGGACTATTGGGTATGAAAAACACCATTGTGTTTCTATACGCAAAGATAACACCGATAAACAGAATTGTAGTTTCTATTAATGTAAAATGCAAACATTCGTGTCTGAATAATCATGATCGTATTTAGGGGTGGTTGCGGTTCGGTAACCGCGAATTTTTACTCAAACCGCAAACCGACCGACTATTTGCGGTTTGGTGATTTTTGAAACCGCAAACCGACCGCGTTTTGCGGTTTACCGCATTGCGGTAAACCGCAAAATGCGGTCGGTTACCGCGAATTAGCGGTTTAAAACCGCGAGTTCTCAAGCATTCACAAAAATATAAATTCACAACCTAAATAAATACACAACCTCAATTTCCCAAACATATATAAATTCACAATCTTCTCAACTTCTCAAGCATTCACAACCTAAGAAAATTAAAGTTACAATTCCAAGCATTCCAATTAAATTTAAACTTCTCAAGCATTCCAATTCCAAATCCTTTAAAGTTATAAACCAAAAGGAAAATGCAAAGCAAAATGAATTAAAGTTACAACAAAAAAGAAAAATCCAATTCAAAGTTAATTAAAGTTACAAACTAAAAGGAAAATGCAATGCACCAATGTTACAAACTAAAGTTACAAACTCAAGTGTTGGTGGTGAGTGGATTTGAAGAACCCCGTTGTGTTGTTTGAGCACTAATGTTATTTACAAATAAAACAACATAGTTTAGTACATTTTATTATAAGAAGAAGCATAAATAACATTAGTATAAATAAACTAATTACTTACAAGTTGTCATATGTTCTATTTCCTTGTAAAATTCAACTTCATCATCCGTGTGGCTATACTTTGCGGTTTGCGGTAACCGCAAGTTTTGAAAATCAAATACCGCAACCGCAACCGCAAATGCGGTTCGGTTCTTAATACCGCAAATGCGGTTCGGTTTACCGCGATTGCGGTTTCATTGCGGTAAATTGTCGGTTGGTTTTTGCGGTTTTTCGGTTTTTCGGTTTTTCGGTTTAAAATGCCACCCCTAATCGTATTTGTAGTATCTATGGATTAAAGCACATCTATCTAAGATTTAGAAAATCAATCATTTGTGTTAGAGCTCTTCATTTTTCATGCTATGCTTAGGAGAACTAATGAAAAATAATTGATAGCCGGCAGCAGAGGAAATATTATAGATATTGAATTGGATATTATGTGTATGTACCGGTGGATCTTCCGTTCTGATCAGAAAATAATAACCGTCGGATGTGCACGTGATGTACTGACATCGATGATGATGAGTTTTGCGTCATGAAAGAGAGAGAGAGAGCACACGAGTCCCGTGCCGGCGCAGGGATGGCAGAGCAAAGACTCAATCTCAACTGCCACGTGGCGACGTGCGTGCCGTCCGCTGCTTCCTGAGCGGGAGCCAATCCAACGAGTGCGAGGCCACTCTTTATTGACGTCTTAATTACTAATTAGGATTTTTGGGTGAAAATTAGGAACTTGGGTTGCACGACCGCACTCCCTTGTTATGCTTAGCTGGATCCTGTCAGCTTTTTCCCAACATGTGTTTTGCGCTGCATCTTTTCTTACCGATCTTCCACTCGTTTTCAAAAAACATTCTTAATCAAATAATGCTCATCACTCATTCCATCCCAAAGGATGGTTTTATCACGTAATTAGCATGTGTGTTATTATAATATGAATCACAATTTTATATTCTTACAAAATCTACTCCAGTGATTATTTTGACTCATTTCATTAATTCAAATAATATATTTTGTAGATATTTATTCAAAGATCATCTCTACAAAAAATCACTTGAATCTGATATCATTTGGCAACTTAATTATAAATTATTAAAATTCAAGTACTTTTCTAAAGTACAGCGTTTAGTGATTTTATTTGTCTTAATTAGATGCCTTAATGATTTTCAATTTACATATATTTTTTTTTTGCAAGGATGATCTCTGAATGAATATGTGAAAAATAGATGGTTTGGATCATTGAAAAAAATTTCACAGGGAACCTTAAAGGGTGTTCCTCAAATAAAATTATTTGAGGGATCCCTCAATAAAAATGGAATATATATTTTGTTAATGCTAAAAAATGGTCAGATACTTTTGGACCCAACTTAGTGATGATATTGCCTTCGGCTCTATGTGCTATTCGGCAGGTTGAATAGCTGCAAAATGAAGAAAAAGCAGTGAGGTCCTGGGCACCGGTGTTGTACCGGCTGAAAACTCTCCAATACTTAAGTTAGTACCGAGTATAAAAGTGAATAGTGATCTAGAGGGTGCTGAGCACACCTGACCAAAACACCCTTCTAACGAAAAACCACAGTTACTTTAGAGTTTGACTTATGCTGAAAATTCGGCAAAGTTTCCCATGCAAATTGGACTTTTCCCTAGATTTTTCAACCTATTAAAACACAATTAATATCTACCACTGGCATCATACACAATTTAACCTTCAAGCATTTTACAACTAGGCCTCTGGCCTTCATTAATTCAAAACAGAACCCCCAATAAAACTCTTAAATCAGATAATAAGATTTAACAAAGCAAATAATGTACTCAAACTAAATTATGCACGTT